CTTTGAGGTCACATCTAATCCTCCCCCATCCCAATTTTAGCAGAAAAATTATGTATGTTTAGATTTGCTTCCATAAGTCAAGTCCTTAATGCATTGCTCTCCTTCAGAAGGGAGAATCCTGTCTCTTTTATGAATCGTCCAAGTCCCAAAGGTGGAAATCCTTCACTGACTTGAGATTAACGAGGTGTACTGGCTGGGACGATCGCTCCTAACAGGAAATGGTGCATAAGGGCTTGTCTCTGAGCTGGGTCTGCAGCTGAGCCATCTTGTCCCCAGGACAGGCAGGGTGGCCTGGTGGACAGCACAGGGGATTTCTGTCCTGGCCTCCAGCTCATCCAGGGGTGGCCCGACACAAGCTCGTCTCCCTGGGAGAGGCCTCCATGGATCACTCTCTATTCCTGGATCTGCTTGTGGCCCAGCATTGCACTGGAAGTTAAGCCCAGGCTCTGCAGCAGGGCAGGCTTCTCTGAACTTTTGGTGTGCTGGGCTGAGCCTGGGTGAGTCCCCAGAGACACAGCTTGACGGTTGTCCCATACTTATTTGGCCAAGGCTCTGGCCTCCCCTACCACCCTCCCCACTTTTGGGGGAGCATCCACCAGCACCTCCCAGAGCAGCATGCCGTGGGTCCTAGCCTAGGAGATAATGGTCTGCAGCGCATTTGCTGATGGCTTAGAGGTGCCACCTTGAGAAGACACGGTCCCGGGCCTGACAATTCAGATGCCTGCAGAGGACAAGTTCCAGCCAACGGAAGGAGCTGCTTTTATTGGGGCCAGCCCAACACCCTGCAGGTGTGTTGCTTTTTAAATCACCTTGTGGACCAAAAGAAAATGGCAGCCGGCAGTACTTGGCTGTACCCAACAATACCCAGGAGCACCCAGCCATACGCATCAGTACCCAGCAGCACCTAGCAGTACCCATCAGTACTCACCAGCAGCACCTAGAAGTACCCATCAGTACTCACCAGCAGCACCTAGAAGTATCCAGCAGTACTCACCAGCAGCACCTAGAAGTACCCATCAGTACTCACCAGCAGCACCTAGAAGTATCCAGCAGTAGCCAGTAGCTTCTATCAGTACCCATCAATACCCAGTAATACCCAGCAATACCCATCAGTATCCAGCCATACCCAGCAGAACCCATCAGTGCTCAGCAGTACCCAGCAGCCCCCAGCAGCACCCATCAGCATCCAGTAGTATTTATCAGCACATGAGAGTACCGAGCAGCACTCATCAGTACCCAGCAGTATCTGCCTCACCGTTGCTCAGTCTGCCAGCAGTGACTGGTCTGTGTCTTCCTGTGCTTCTCCGAAGTTGGGAGGACAGTGGCCCAGGCCCACAGTGGTTCCCAGTGTTCCTGGTGTGGCCTTTGGAGGGTGTTGCAGCTTTCTCTGTGGCCTCTCCATTCTGGCTGCTTCTCAAGCCCTGGAGGAACCGGTGTTTGGGCGTGGGGGACCTGGTACCCATGGCCGCTGGATGAGGGCTGGTGAGTAGCTGCCTCCCATGGTCCTGGACTCTCGCTGCCCTGGGGCAAGTCTGCAGCGCTGTCTTCCCTGAGCCTTTGCTGCCTGAGCTCCATCCACTCCTCCTAACCCCGACTCCCCTCCTGCTTCTCAGGTCAGTCCACCTGGAACCCAGGAAGAGCCCGTGCAGTAGTTGGTCTGTGGCTTTGTCCCCTGCACCTGTGCCTGCCCTCCTCTCACACGCTTCCTGCTAAAACTGCACTGAAAGGGGCTGGTGGGCAAGTGCGGGCATCGGCTGGTTCAAGGAAGTCAGGATTAACAGGATTACTTTCCTGAGCTGAAGGTATAATAACAAATGCCAACTTAAAGGCAACACGACTGCAAGAGCCCAGCCGCCTTCCGACACAAAGATCACACATTGCACAAAAAAGAAACCTTCTTAAGGAAACCCAGTGATAAGCCACCAACAAATCCATGTCCCTCCAAAGCAGCTGCTCCAACAGGGACCTCAGAGTCATTTGAAAGGGGAGAGTTTGCCTCGGGAACTCCTGTCTGCTTACAGGGCACCCTAGATAAGAACACAGGAATCTGAGACACAGGCAGCAGCTACAGCATCTCAGGCAGAAGCTGAGCACCTGCCTTCTAGGGTACCTCGGAATTCCCCTGGGAAGCTGCTCGCCAGGGCAGCAGCAGGACCAGGGTGACTGCAAGCTCACAGGGAGGCCAGCCCAGAGTGAAATTCCTGGGGAAGACACCCTCTGGGTGCCAGTGGAATCCACTGGGAAGCTGTCCTGTGGGGCTGGCGGAACCCACTGGGAACCGCCCACGTGGTGGTGCCCTTGATGCCCACTAGGGTGAGCGTCCTGGGCATCCCATGCCCTGCAGGCTGCCGTGCTGCAGGAACAAGCTGGGAAGGACACGGAGCCTGAAGATAGGCCCCTTCCTCTGCAGTGCCTGGCAGTACCCCAGGACCCTCCATGGACGAAGTACCCCAGGACCCTCCATGGCCAGCTCACAAAGGGGCCATGTTCACAGCCCAGCTCCCACATCCAGAGCAGGGCCAAGGAGGGCAGAGTTGGAGCTGATACCAGCACACCGTGTTTGTTTATGAAACACCTATGCTACTGCACTCCTACACTACCGGGCTTCAGAAAACCACGAACCCAAGGGCCGGGCGCGGCAGCTCACGCCTGAGGTCCCAACAGTTTGGGAGGCGGAGATGGGCAGATTATTTGAGGTCAGGAGTTCGAGACCAGCCTGGCCAACATGGTGAAACTCTCTCTCTACTAAAAATGCAAAAATTAGCTGGGTGTGGTGGCTAATTTTTGGACCTGTGGTCCCGGCTACATGGGAGGCTGAAGCAGGAGAATTGCTTGAACCTGGGAGATGGAGGTTGCTGTGAGCTGAGGCTGTACCATTGCACTGCAGCCTGGGCAACAGAGCAAGACTCCATCTCAACAAACAAACAAACAAAAACACGAACCAGAGACATGTACCTTTAGCGTGAGCAGCACTGTTAATCGTGGTCACTCTAACAGTTTGTGACATAGTGATTCGAAGGTCTGTTTCTAGCCGGGCCCAGTGACTCATGCCTGTAATCTCAGAACTTTAGAGGCAGAGGTGGGAGGGTCAGTTGAGCCCAGGAGACTATCCTGTACAACACAGTGAGACCCCATCTCTACAAAAAAATAGCTGGGCAGGGTGGCACACGCCTGTGGTCCCCGCTACTGAGGAGGCTGAGGCGTAAGGACTGCTTGGGCCCAGAAAGTTGAGGCTGCAATGAGCTGTAATTGCACCACTGCACTACAGCCTGGGCAACAGAGCAAGATCCTGTCTCAAACACACACACACACACACACACACTAAAAATCCAGTCTTGGTTCATTTTATTTTGTAACGTAGTTTTAACAACAACCATTGCTGGAAAGAAATCGCTTACACAGTCAGGTAGATCCAAATGAAAACAGGCTGTACGTACTAAATATGCGCTAACTCATTTTCCCTGATGTTAATCATTAGCTCTCGTGAATTAACTGGAGGGAGGTCTATTTAAGACTTCTAACAAACACACTGAAACTCACTAGATACTTCATTTGGAAGATTTTCAAACAGATTGGGAAAAAATCTGTCTTTACCTTTTTCAAGGGTCCATATAGAAGAATGTTCGTGGAAGACAGATATTGTTTTAAGTCACAAAATTATATAAAAGTGGAAATATTTTTAAAGCTCTGTTTTTGAAGTACAATCTCCATTGAGTTATTTCCTTTAAAAAAAAAAAACCTATTTTCTGATTCCTTATTAAAATGCCAGCTGTACCTTGAGGGGCAAACTGTGTTTGTCTTTCCATAAAATATCTGTAAATAGCGTACAACTGTCAGTCACCTGTCACTTAGAAAAGTCTGCAAATAGAAACCATGTGTATATTGTAAGAGAAGAGAGTGCCACGCCCTCCCAGTGGTGGAGAGGAAGATTGGGAGGGTGTCCAGGGTGCACCGGGGGCTGGAGAGTCCCCATCTCCCCTCTAGCTCCTCTGCAGAGCCAAGTGACTGCTGCGGCCACTGGCTGAGTGGAGGTGAGACCTCTGGCCCTGAGGTTCAGTGGTTCAGGGCCCACCGCCCCCACCCTGGTCTGAGGAAGAGGATGGGAGGGCCTCGTGACCTCCTGGAGGAAGGCGATGGGTGGACTGAGTCTTCTCTATCCCTGAGGAGAGGCAGGCAATGGGAGTTCCTTAGGGGCCTCTGAGGGGCTGACAGCCTTTAGGGAGGTCGGGGAGGATTCCTTTGTTATTACTGTTGTTTTTAACCTGTTGAGCATGAAGGACATTGCAGAAGGACTGTGCCCCCAAATGACTGACAAAGGTGAGGAAAAAAAGGACGTCCCATCTAGCTGGATGGGGATAGAACAGGGTGGAGGGAGCACCTAGGTATGTCAGGCAAGGAATGTCAGAGGGAGCCATCCACCCACGTGGCCAGCGAAACAGAGGTGGGAGGAGACTCACGAACACCTGAGATCAAAACCCATCTGGCACACGAGAAGATCCAAATTCCAGCATGCAGAGGAACTCCAGGAGCTTCAAAACGTGCCCGCATCATGAAATCATCCAGCAGATGATTAAAGACTCGATCTGGTGCAGACCCTGACCCGGGGAAGGCAAAGGGTGAGAAACAGCTCGGCAGACACAGCAGAGCGGGAAACAGGCGGACGCGGGACTGAAAGCAGGAGGCTTGGGGGATGGCCCAGGAGATCTGATCTGAGAGTAACAAGTTACAGGAGTGCAGAAAGTCGCAGATGGGGGACTGGCAGTAATTACGTATCGGAAGAACTCTGCCCTGAGTTGGGGGGAGCCTGGAGAGTACCATGGAAGGGCCCCCGGAGTCACAGGCTCAGCTGATGAGAAAAGATGTACTCTGTGCAATGTCAAGGTAACAGCTTCCGAACTCTGCACACACGTGGGGTTCTTCCCTTAATGTGAAACTCTAGAAACCACAAATCGCATCAACAGTGATAGAAATCAGACCAGTCATTGTCAGGAGCCACGGAGTTGACTGGGTCAGTGATAGAAACTTTAATGAATGCATGGATGTATACACGTCAGAACATGGACTTTTGAAAATGGATCCATTTTATGGCATGCAAACTTTGCTAAATACATTTCAATGGAAAATTATAAGTGCTGTGCTTTCTCCACTGAGAAAAAGTAGCCAACCATTTTTCAAGCAAAAGGAATATGTTACCTAAAACAGCAAAGCAATCAGAATGGTCTCAGGCTTCCCATCGACAACACTGCAAGCTGAAAACAGCGGAAGAACAGAGGACTGCAGCCCCAGAAGCCCTGCTCCCAATAACGATAACTGTGGACATGTCAGGAGCAGGAACTCAGTGAGTTCACCACCTACGTGCCTCATCTAGGAAAACACTGTAGAAACGGTTCTGATGAAACTACAGACCCAGCAACGACACAGCAGAGGCCTCTGGAGGAAGGAGGATGGAAAGGAAGGGCGCAGGCGTGAGAAGCTTCATCTCAGAGGCACCCGGAGGGGCTCAGCCTTTGAGAGCAGCTGAGGGGCCCAAACACTGCAGGGTGGCTGGGTCTGGTCTCCACAGGGGATGGCGGAAGCATGAGAGAAACAGAGGCCACGGTGTGAGTAGGAACCTTGTGGAGGGGTTATGGGATGAGGGAGACAGTGAGTGTGTGTTCAGTGTGCATATTTTTTTTTTTGAGATGGAGTCTCACTCTGCCACCCAAGCTGGAGTGCGCTGGTGCAATCTTGGCTCACTGGAAACTCCACCAAGCAATTCTTCCTGTCTCAGCCTCCTGAATAGCTGGGATTACAGGTGCCCACAACCACACCTGGCTAATTTTTGTATTTTTATTTTTCAGTAGAGATAGGGTTTCACCAGATTGACCGGGCTGGTCTCGAACTCCTGACCTCAGGTGATCTACCTGCCTTGGCCTCCCAAAGTGCTGGGATTACAGGCGTGAGCACCGCGCCCAGCCACACATAAGTAGTTGCTCAATGTTTTTCCCGACTAGAGCCTCAGCTCTGTGAGGGGGATTGTTCTGTCCAAACTGAAGCTGTAGATGCTGCTGGCTCTGCCCCCTCCCCTGCCTGTTGCCTTGCATGCAGATGGTGTTTGGAGAGCCACCTTCTGAGCATGAGGCAAGGGCAAGAGAGCCATAGACATGCTGGTCTGATGTCACTGAGTCACTGGAAAGCCAGCAGCTTTCTGCCTGTTGATTTATTATGTATAAAAATAAGCTTCAATGTGTTTAAGGAATTGTTGGACATTCTGTTCTGTGCAACTGAAAACATTCTGAATGGATGCAATGACTGATAAGGAAGTTCTAGGAAACTAGGAATAGGCGGGTCTTTGGTAAAGAAATGATGTTTTATACCAACAAACAGCATGATATTTAATGTGTGGGAATTACCGGAGGTTTTCTATAAACTCAGAAATAAGCCATGCATGCTCAGGGCCGATCCTGGGAATGTTCTGGAATCCTAGCGCATATAAGACAAAAAAATAAAGCAGTAAAATAGCAAAACACGGAATAATCACTATTAGATAATGACTTCGTGTCTAAGGAAAATTCAGAAAAGTCTCCAAAACGTGCACTTTCCCAGCCCCAAGGCCATCCTCGGAACCGCTGACGCCAGGTGTTCATCCTCACACCGAGCACGAGTTATGGAAGAGCCCCAGGACCGAGGGGCGCCAAGCGGCTGCGCTCACACGGCCGCGCGCCAAGCTGGAAAGAGGCAAGTGGCCGGCGCTCTGCCCTCCCCTTTGGCATCTTCCTTTCCATGCCCTGCCCCGTTTCCCCGCGGCATTTATACCGGACTTTAGAGAACGGTGAACGCCCATCTGGAAGTCACTGCTCCTGGTCACTGCTCGGAGGGAGAGGTCCTGGGGCCGCCCAGCGTGGTGCGTCCCATCCTGGCTCTGCTGTGCGTTCTCACCCCGTTCAGCCTGGACCTGGCTTCTCATGACAGCACTCAGCAGTGTCCCTGGTGAGGGCCTCTGAACACATACAAAGCAGACTTTGTCCCTCCCTACTTAAGGACCCATTGTGGCTTCCTCTCCCACTCAGAGTAAGCCACAAAGTGCCCACAGGGGCGGGCCTTACCCGGCCACCAGCAGCCCCTCTGGCTCCTTAGGCCACCCCGCCACCTTGCCAGGCACCACCTCCTGGTGAGCATTGGGTTCCCAGAAGGAGTCCTGCTCAGCCCTCCTTAGGGTCCCCAAAGGAGCACAGCCCCCACCCTAGACCCCAGGCCCCTCTGCCCATACCTTCAGGTCCCACACTCACTCTCTTTCCCTTGGGAGGTCTCCACCATCCACCCTAGTCCAAATTAAACACACTCCCTCTTTCTTGATTGTGGAATCCATTCTCTTTTGTTGGCACCATTGAAAATGACATGAATATCTGTGTCCAGGAGTCCCCCCTTCCCTGCAGGGGATGCGTCCCAAGACCCGCAGTGTTTGCCTGAAACCTGGAATGGTACCCACCCCACGTATGCTGTGCTTTCTGCTACCCATGCCTGTGAGGCACGCATGCCTACATATACATACTGTGAAGTCTCCCTGCTGAGGGCAAAGTGCAGCCAGGAATCAGGTGCCGTAACAGATGAGCAGTGGTAACCAGTAATAAAGTACAATGATCAGAACGGCATACTGTCCTCAGAGTCACGTGGCTGTGATCTGTCTCTCTGTCTCTCTCACAATGCTTGCTGTAGAGCACCACAGTGAGTGTAACCACGGAAAGCACGCCTGCAGCTGAGAAAGGGCCCCTGCATTTGTGCGGCGAGTGTCTCTCCTCCCATTGGACTTGGGGACCCAAAGGGCAGAGGCCACCTGCAGTGTGTTTGCAGCTGTGTCCCAGAGCCCAGCATTGTGGCTGGCATGGAGCAGAGGCTCACAGTCTGTTTGCTGAACAAAGCAGGAATTCCCGGTGAATTGTTGAATCCGGTCAAAGTGGACCATGGCTTGGCCCCAGCAGGTCACAGAAGCAGACAGCAGAAGCACCTGAGGGACTGCCAGAGCCTGGCATGGGCTGGGACTCTGCACTGTGGGCAGGATGGAGCAGGGAGCAGCCAGGAGCAGAGAGGCCCGAGGAACCTGGGGCCAAGGGCACGAGGCAGGGTGCAGGGCGGGGGCAGTATTCATGAGTTGCAGGGATTTCTGGACTTATAGCTGCACTTATATATGCAATAAAACTTCAGATGTGCTCCTATCCTGGCTTGATATCATGGGCTAGCAAATCTTAAGGGCAAATTGAGAAGTCTGCTTGAACATGGGGTTTGATTCACCCAAAGCAGGGAGAAAATGACTGTGATGAAAATACAGACACGGTCATGAAAGATCAATTATTCTGGACTCAAGAGGGTCTGTCTGGAGCCCAGGGGCCCATGTTTCCCTTATTAATCAAAAATAATTAAGAATGGCGATGGTTCTGTCTACCTGAGCGTCTGTGTGTCGATCGGGAGATGAATGGGGTACCATCTCCATGAAGTGGAAGTCCTTTCCTGGTTGGATGATGGTAGCAGCCCTGCCCCTTCTCCCCACGGTATTTACGTTTATGAGGCACATGCTGCATGATCTCACTCACATGTGGAATATGAAAATGTTGATCTCACAGAAATAGCGAGTGGAACTTGGTTACCAGAGACTGCAGGGGTGCGGGTAGGAGCTTGGCCAACAGGTGCAGAGCTCCGGTGAGAAGGCAAGGACAGCCCTGCTGTGCTGGGACACAGCAGGTGAACAACGTGTCATGTATTCCACGGGAGCTGGTAAACAGGATCGCAGTGTTTTGCCAACACAGAAGTGGTAAAGGTCTGGGGCTGACACGCTGACCACCCTGCTTCGGCCATTATGCCATGTGTGTCCACGTGGAAACTTCACACTGAACCCAGAAACACGTACAGTCATCATGCGTCAATTCAAAACTAGCATTTGTTTGAAAATACACTAACAGCGCATTCACCCAAGCTGATAAATCCAGTGAACCGAGGGAACGGCTGGCTTGCTAAGTCAGAGAATAGAAACAAACGGCACATCGCAGCCAGACAGGGCTTCTAGAAGGAGGCAGGCTTCAGGGAGAGATAGAAAGAGGAGAAAAGGACGTTATAAGAAGTTGTCTCCTATTATTAATCTTGGCCAAAATTTAGAAACGGGAAGAGAGGCTGGTCCATCCGTAGTGGACAAAGGCATTTGTGTAGGGCAAAGGACCAACCCCTCGGGAGAGAAGGGGAGCTCCTTCTCTCACACACCTGGGCCTTGGTGTGTCCTCAGTGGATCAGCCCTGGGGCTGTAGCTGGCTGCAGTCGGGTTGCATCCAGCTCAGGGAACACTCAGTCACTAGCGCTGAGTCTCCAGACTGCCTGGGACACAACAGCTCTTTGCATGAATGCAGCTTCCTGAGCACTGCTCATTGGAGATTTCTGATTTTGTGGAATTAAATTAGTATTTAAATTAGTGAGATCTAAAAGCCCAAGGAATAGTTAACTTCCAAAAACTCAGCTCTAAAAGGGGCCTCAGGTTGTCTGGCCCAAACACCCACAGGGCTGTGACCCCCTCTGACCCTCACCTGCCCACACAGCTGCCAACAGAGGCAGTCTGCCTTCCAGGGCTGCAGTCCTCTCCCTGTAGGAAATTGTACTGAAAGGAAATCTGGGCCGGGTATAGGGGCTCACATCTGTAATCCCAGCACTCTGGGAGGCCTAGGCAGGTGGATCACTTGAGTTCAGGAGTTTGAGACCAGCCTGACCAACATGGTGAAGCCCTGTCTCTACTAAAAATACAAAAATTAGTCGGGCATGGTGGCGGGCAACTGTAATCCCAGCTACTCGGGGGTGCTGAGGCAGGAGAATCCCTTGAACTGGGCGGCAGAGGTTGCAGTGAGCTGAGATTATGCCATTGCACTCCAGCCTGGCTGACAGAGTGAGACTCCGTCTCAGAAAGAAAGGAAATCTGACCCCTCTTGCAGTGCTGCCTCTGGAACTACCGAAAATACGATTAATCTTCCCCAAATGAACAGCTTTCAACTCTGTGGGGCCACTTACCACGGCCCTGGAGGTCTCCTCTCTCCAAGGCTAATGATCCTGACATCCCACAGCCATTTCTCTTGTAAGCTTCACTGGCAGGACCCCAGGCCTTGATGCAGCAGCCTGGGAAGGGCAGCCTCCTCTCGGCTGGCCCGGAATCCAGAGGGAAGGGGGACGATGGAGACAGGAATCTGTGTGCTGCGTTCTTGCGGGGGATTCCACATTCAAAGCCCCACTTCCTAGCTGTAGCCTGGAGACGTCTGTGGAGGCTTCCAGACAATTTAACCTCCTGAGTTAGTTTCCTAGGGGTGTCATCACAAACGACCCCAAACTGGGTGGCTTCACACAACAGAAATGTGTCCTCACACAGTTCTCGAGGCTGGAAGTCGGACATCACCACAGCACTGCTTGTTTCCTCTGAGGCTGCGAGGCGGAGTCACCACCGGGGCTCCCTGCAGCTCCTGGCAGGTGTGGGGAAGCCTGGCAGGTGTGGGGAAGCCTGGCAGATGTGGGGAAGCCTGGAAGGTGTGGGGAAACCTGGCAGGTGTGGGGAAACCTGGCAGATGTGGGGAAACCTGGCAGGTGTGGGGAAGCCTGGCAGGTGTGGGAAGCCTGGCGGGTGTGGGGAAAACTGGCAGGTGTGGGGAAGCCTGGAAGGTGTGGGGAAACCTGGCAGGTGTGGGGAAACCTGGCAGATGTGGGGAAACCTGGCAGATGTGGGGAAGCCTGGCAGGTGTGGGAAGCCTGGCGGGTGTGGGGAAAACTGGCAGGTGTGGGGAAGCCTGGCAGGTGTGGGAAGCCTGGCGGGTGTGGGGAAACCTGGAGGGTGTGGGGAAGCCTGGCAGGTGTGGGGAAGCCTGGCGGGTGTGGGGAAGCCTGGCGGGTGTGGGGAAGCCTGGCGGGTGTGGGGAAACCTGGCGGGTGTGGGGAAGCCTGGCGGGTGTGGGGAAGCCTGGCGGGTGTGGGGAAGCCTGGCGGGTGTGGGGAAGCCTGGCGGGTGTGCGGAAGCCTGGCGGGTGTGCGGAAGCCTGGCGGGTGTGCGGAAGCCTGGCGGGTGTGGGGAAGCCTGGCAGATGTGGGGAAGCCTGGCAGATGTGGGGAAGCCTGGCGGGTGTGGGGAAGCCTGGCAGATGTGGGGAAGCCTGGCAGATGTGGGGAAGCCTGGCAGGTGTGGGGAAACCTGGCAGGTGTGGGGAAGCCTGGCAGGTGTGGGGAAGCCTGGTAGATGTGGGGAAGCCTGGCAGGTGTGGGGAAGCCTGGCAGATGTGGGGAAGCCTGGCGGGTGTGCGGAAGCCTGGCGGGTGTGCGGAAGCCTGGCGGGTGTGCGGAAGCCTGGCAGGTGTGGGAAGCCTGGCAGTGGATGCATCACTCCAGCCTCTGTATCTGCCTCCACGCGGCCTGCTTCTCTGCGTCTTCTCCCCTTCTCTTTTCCTAGGAGTCTTGCCATTGGATTTAGGGCTCACCTAAACTAGAATGGTCTTATCTCGACATCCTTATTACATGCCTTAGGCCCTTTGGCCAACGAGGGTCACATTCTGATGTTCCTGTTGGACACATCTTTCGGAGGTGGTACCATTTACTCCAGCAGAACTCTTGCTTTACAGATTAACGTCGTGGGCAGGGCAAAAGGGGAGCGGAGTGCCGGGAAGCCCCTGTAGAGTTCCTGAGGAACCTGAGCCTCCACACCCCAGTCCCGCTGTCCCCACCCTCACTTGGAGAACGCAGTGACCAAACGGGACACACAGCAGCAGCCATGGTGACACTGCATAACGCGAGGCTTCTTTGCAGGTCTCTAGTAATTGAAGCTTACTCTGCAAGGGACAAAATCGTTTTTAAAATGCTCCAGATGGTAAGCATTCTGAACCACAGACACGTGCTCTCCCAGTGTGCTTCAGAGAATACAAGTTTTGAAAAGGACGTTGGCATTTTGCTGGTAACTCAGGGAGGTCGACGCCGAAGGGCCACTCGGAGCGGAGGCTGGGACGTGATCCTTCTGGCTCTGCCCGACCAGCTGGGCCGTAGACCCTGCCTCAGATACCCCCACATCCCTGGCTTCTGGATGTGGTGACTGCTGGCTGTTTCCCCCAAGAACTGGCCCTTCTCAGCATGGCAGCCCATTCATTCGCCAGCTCCTAATGGGATGTGTGATGGAATACATTTTGAGGGGGTGGATGGAGATATTAATCTTTGTTTTGCTTTTCCTATTTCTCTCCCTCATCCGATTTCAAGCAGATCACCCAGCTCTTTGTAATTTTTTTGCCTCGGGTTTTTTTTCCAGGCAGAAAGCCAAAGCAGCTCAAAGCCAAAGGCTCTTTCTGTCTTTTGTAAAAACCTAAAGCCATTTCATAAAAACCCAAACCCAGGAGGCAAGTGGGAGGGAGAGGGTGAGATTCACTGAGGCTGGGAAGAGGAGGAGGCTGGTGTCCCCAAGGGCCTGAGGTCCAAGCACAGCTCCAAGGCACAGCCCGGGAGGGTGGAGCACACCCGGCGGCCCACATCATGCCCCGAGGCGCTCATGCCTGGCCAGGATCCCCAGGCACCAGGCAGGGCTCAGGAACAGCCGCCAGCTTAGGGCAGCAGGACGTGCAGGCATGGAGTGGCCGCCCAGGAGGCGGTGGTGACAGCTCCCAGCCCTGCAGCTCTTCTGGGCACCATGGAAGCTTCTGGATCCTGGAGCAACTCTAGGAGGGAAGAGAGTTGCATTTTCTGCCAGCCCCACAGGGTGGGGCTCCCAGTTGGGTTTAAGCTGATTTAAGTAAACAAAGAAATGAAACTTCCGGATTTCTGGACAGCACGGCCCTCCAAGTTCATGGTCTGAGGCCTCTTCTTTGCTCCGAATATTCATTAGATAAAACATTTCAACAAAACAAGCCAAGCATCGCAGACACCAAAAACAGACAGAACAAAACCCGTGGGTGGGGTCTGAGATGGAGCTTCCGGTCTCGGAACCAAGGTGGGGGAAGTGCTGGCACAGCTCCCGGGGTGGGGAGCAGAGGCCGCTGACTGCACAGAGAGACCCCCACCCCAGAGAGGGAACAGAAGAAAATTCCGGCTGAGTGCTTC